TGTTCATTAGGGAGATTGGTCTATAGTACTGTTTTTTGGCTGGGTCTTTCTCTGGTTTTGATGTCAGGGTCATACCTGCCTCCAGGAACGAGTTAGGGAGAATTTCTTACCTTTTAACTTCATTGAAGAGTTTGAGGAGTATTGGCATTAAATCTTCTCTAAATTTCTTGTAGAATGCAACAGTGAATCCATCAGGACTTGGGCTTTTCTTTGTTGGTAAGTTTTTAATCACACTTTAAATCTCATTTACTAATATTGGGTTATTCTGAATTTTTATATCTTCTTGATTCAGCTTTGGTAATTCATACTTATCAAGGAATCTGTCCATTTCTTCAGTGCTTTGCATCCTTGTGAAAGTAAAGATTTTCATAGTATGTATTGATGACCTTCTGAATTTACACAGGATCTGTAGTGATTTCACCCTTGTTTATTCCTCAGTGCATGAATTTGAATCTTTTCTTTCCTTTTTTTGATAAGGTTGGCTAAGAGTTTATCAATTTTATTTATTCTTTCAAAGAACCAACTCTTCAATTCATTACTTCTTTGTATTGTTTTCTTAGTCTCCATTACATTAATTTCTTTATAATTTCCTCCCTTGCATGGGCTTCGGGCTTGTCTTGCTCTTCTTTTTCTAGAAGCTTGAGGTGCAACAATAGGTTATTTATTTGCAGTTATTCGATTTTCATGAGGTGAGAATTCACCATTGCAAATTTCCCCCTGAGGACTGCTTTTATTGAGTCCCACAGATTCCAGTAAGTTGTGCCTGCATTTTCCTTGCACTGTGAATATTATTTAATTTCTTCTTTAATTTCATCTATGACCCCTTGGATTTTTTCAGGAGGGTGTTATTTAATTTCCATGTGTTTATAGAGTTTTTGTGGTTTCTTTTGTCATTAATTTCCAACTTCATTGCACCATGGTCATAGAATATACATGAGACAATTTTAATTCCTTTGCAGTTACTTAAGCATGTTCTATGGTCTAGTATATGGTTTATTTTAGAGAATGTACCACTTGCAGCTGAGAACAATATGTATTCTGATGATGTTGGGCAGAACACTCTGTACACATATACTAAGTCCATTTGTTCACAAATTTGTTTTAGTTCTGATATTTCTTTGCTGATTTTTTGTCTAGTTTATCTCTTTGTGACAATGGGGCATTAAGGTCTCCTGTTTCAACTGTGTTACTGCTTATTTGATTTTTCATGTCTACTAATAATTGTCTTAGAGGCTGGGTTTATAGCTCAGTGGCACAGAACCTTCCTGGCAAGTGTAAGGTCATGAGTTTGATTCCTGGTACTAAAATTTAAATTAAAAGATAAAGAAATAATCACCTCATATAGTTGAGTGCTCCTGTATTTGGTGCATACATATTTATGATTGTTATTTCTCCTCTTGAAGTTTTCCCCTAACAAGTAGTATCTCTTTTGATCATTATTCCTCAATGCATGAATTTGAATCTTTTCTTTCCTTTTTTTTGATAAAGTTGGCTAAGAGTTTATCAATTTTATTTATTCTTAGTTTGAAATTCTTAGTTTGAAGTTCACATTGTCTGCAAACAAAATAGCTTCCACTGGTTTTTTTCTGGGTTCCTGTTGAATGGAAGATTGCTTTCCAACCTTTGATTTTCAGCCTATGAATTTCTTTTGAGTAAAATATGTTTCTTGTATACAGCATACTGTTGGATCATGTTTCTTAATCCATTTTGCCAGTCTGTTTCTTTTGATTGGTAAATTGAGACCATCTACATTGATGGTTATAATTAATATGCATTGGCTTATGTTTGTCATGATATTTTCCTGCTGTTGGTTCCCTGCTTTTCCCCTCTGTTTAATTGCTTGCCATGCCTGTTAGTTTCTTTCTGTTGTTGTTCTTAGGATTGTGGTCATTTTTATCTCTGTCTAGAATATCTCTCAGTACTCTTTTAGGGTTGGTTTGTTGGTCATGAATTTCTTCAATTGTTCTTTGTCATGGAAGTATTTTATTTTTTCATTAATTTTGAAAGATAGTTTTGCAGGATACACCAATCTGGGCTAGAAGTTGTTTACTTTCAGGACTTTAAATACTTCACTCCAAGCTCTTCTTGACTTGAGAGCCTGTATTGAGAAGTCTGCCATGATTCTGATGGGCTTTCCTTTATAGGAGATCTGTGTCTTTTTTCTAATAGCTTTTAATATTCTGTTTTTGTGCTAAATTTCTGGAATCTTGATTATTATATGTCTTGGTGTAATTTTATTTTGGTCATAGTTGTTTGGAGTTCTGTATGCTTCGTTTAATTCTATGTCAAATTCTTTATCCATGCTTGGGAAGTTTTCTGCCATTATTTCTGTGAAGAGCTTTTTTATGGCATTTGCTCGGTCTACTGCTTTCTCATTGACCCCAGTCAAGCTTATGTTATTCTACTTTACATCATTTTGTAGCTGTTGGATTGATTTCTCATAGTCTCTTGCTATTTTTAAGATCTTTTTTCTTGATCATTAGCTGAAATTTCATCTTCTAGATCTGATATTCTATCCTCTCCATTCAATCTGTTGCACATACTTTCAATGGAAGTTTTAATCTCTTGCATTTCTGTTTGGATCGGTTTCATGGATTCCATTTCTTTTCTATGTTGGGCATTTTTTGTTTTTGTTTTTTTGTTTTTTTGATTTCCGGTACCGGGAATCGAACTCACGACCTTGCACTTGCCAGGCAGGTGCTTTGCCACTGAGCTAAATCCCCAGCCCCAGTTGGGCATTTTTTGTTTCCACCATTTTTCTAAGCTCATGTATTCTTTTGTCTGTATCTTCTCTAAAATCTTTGATTTTAAGCATCATTTCTTTTGGTACCTAGAGATTATTTTTTCTATAGCTCTTTCCACTTGTTATTTTTTTTTTCACTTCTGTTGGCTATCATTTCATAAATTTCCAGTGTGACTTCCAATTTCATCTATCTAATTGTGTTTTGGGCTTGTCCTGGGTGGGGGACCTGTGGTTGCACTTTGCTTCTGCATCTTGTCATTTTCTATTTTTTAAAAAAATTTTATTTTGTTTTCTATGTTGATGCTTTCTGATTTCTTATGATAGCTTTGTCACTAGTATTGAGACTTCCCTAGGTGATGTCTGTACTTCAGGTATGTCCTCTAGATGTAGGTGCTTTTTATAGCTATCCTAAGGACCTATCTTCCCAAGCCTTTGGTATTGGCCTACGTTGTTGATTATGACCCCATGCAATCACAGTGTCATCATACAGTGTAGAAAAACTGATTATAACATGTATGACACCCAGCTGAAGTAGTACAGTTATTAATAACAATAGTTTCAAGTACAGTTTAACTACTGACAAACTATTGTAATCATTAACCTGCTACCTCCAGCCACAGGGGCAAACTCTAAAGTTACATAACAAAATCAAATGTATGTCATTTACTTGTATGCAATGATTTTCCCCTTAGTGGAGTGATTTTGCCCTTCTGTGTGGGGTGGGTGTTGATGATGGGTAGGGACAGGCTAAAGTAATGAATGAGGCCAAATATAGTAGAGTCAGTGCTGGAGGTCAAAGGATGATCACCCGAATTTTGGGAAACTGGAGAACACAGGAGGGAAAGAATGAAATAGAATGCAAAGAAGTAATCAGAAAGGGAAGAGACAATGTTTACTCACTTGAAAGTTTAATTTCAAAAAGTAGTTGAGGAAAGAGAGAAAGAGGACCAATGGAAGAAAGTGAAAAAGATAGGTAAGAAACCAAAACAGTGAAAAAAAGAAGGAAGAAAGAGGAGAACAGAATAGAAAAGAAGAAATGAAAGAAGAAAGTAGATGAGAGAGGAGAGAAAAAAAAATCCAGAAACAAAAATAACCACAAAATACAAGACAAAACAAGACAACTTTCGACCAAACAGGAAAGAGACAGCCAATCAGACAAAGAAGGGAGGGCTGGGGATTTAGCTCAGTGGCAAAAGCGCCTGCCTGGCAAGCGCAAGGTCGTGAGTTCGGTTCCCGGTACCAGAGAAAAACCACAAAAAAAAAAAAACAGACAAAGAAGGGAGAATAAAAGTAATGAAATACCTCTGTTGTTTATAGTTCTGTGATAGTGTCTATGTCAGATCCCAGAAATGCGCTGTGTACTCGAGCTAAGTTTTGCCATGGAAATTGTGCTAGATATGGAGGTGATCTTGGCTTCTTGATGTGGGGGCTGGAAATGGTCTTCTGTTGATGGAGTTCTCCAGAGCCCAACTGCTGGCTCCTTGCTGCTGCTTTAGACACTTCCACGTTGCTGGTCTCGCTGATTACTCCACACTTCCAGGCCAGCTGTCCTGGGTCTCGGGGATTCCTGTTGGTGCATCCACCAAGGTGTATATGCACCCACAAGCCCAGGGTATGGCCTGTCCCAAATCTCAGGGGTTCCGGTAGGTCCATGATATAGACATGGCAGAACTCCTTTCTTGTTATAGACACAAGAAAGGAGTTGCCCCAGGGACTATCATGGTGGTTGACTTGCACAAGAGGAGTCTTTAGGAAGGGCATCCTCAGAAGCCTGAGATTTGGGTGGGATGTCTTTTGTCTCCTTAGGGATGTTCTGCAGAATCACGTGGTGTTGGCTGTGATGGAGACTCTTATTCCAGCCCTGGATGGTGAATTGCTCGTGACTCAGAGACCAGAGCCAGAAACTGCAGGAGCTGACAGAGCAACCACTCATGGTGAGGAGATAAATCATTGCTATTTTCCAGATTAGGACAAATGTAGGTGTATTTCTGTTAGAAAAGGGACAGGACAGTAGAAGTCCCTCCCTGTCTAGGCTGTGCACTGTGGCAGGCAGGTGATAGCACAGAGTTTACTGTGAGAACTAAACTAGCAGGTACTAGACCTTTAGGAATATATCTCCTGGTCACTTCTCTGACTTTTAATATAAACCTGAAACTATCAAAGGCTGCTCTTACTGTATTATCAACCCTGAACTTTTTCTCCATGGTTTGAGAATTTTGGATTCACTGGATCAAGAATGTACATGTTGAATTTTGGTTCCAATTGTGATGATCAAAAGTGCCTCTCAAGAATTTCATCTCTAATCCAGCAGGATCCATTATGTCACACATGTGCTTCATAGTATAGATACTAATATATTCAAGGAGGAGGCTGTGAGGAAAATATATTTCACCAGCTAGAGACTACTGCCTACCCCAAAATGCAGGGATACCACTTTACCAAGAACCTGGAAATCCTGGGCCCAATAAGTCCAAATGCAAGTGAAGATATCTCGTATATCAGATTCATCCCAAGCTCAGGGATGGCCTCAGTGTAGTCTTGAAAATTATTTTTGTTTCTTATTAGTTTGTGAACCATTACTTTGCCTTGAAGAAACCTGAAATATTTGTGAAATTCAAAGAGGACAAATATATTAATAGATACAATTATTGTTTACAGATATTTTCTTAAATTTTTTCTTCTATGAGGTGGTTTTAGTCTCAAAATCCACGATGTACCATAGATATCATTTTGTCCTTGTTCTACAGATATGGAAATATTCAGATATTAAGAAACTTCACTATGGTGATAGAGCTGCTAGATTGCTAGAGCAGGACTGGAACCCTAGCGATGTGGGTGTAAGGTCCTTGTGCTTAGTCACTGTGTTGCAGAGCACTCCTTAGGACAGCCACTCAGTGGAGTCTGTTTCCAGGAAATGCATGCCTGCCCTCTATCCTGATTCAGGTGAAGCAGAGCAGAATCTCCATTTTTCTTCATGAAGTCACTGCAAAACTACTGGCAGCAAATAATTTCCTATAAATCCAAGCAAGATGGTTCTATGTCCCATCTTAGAGGATGTCAGATGCCTACACTGAGACTTGTGCTTAAAGAATGTAGAAGGCTTGCAAATACCAAAGTCACTGTCCTTTCCATTAGGGAACAAAATTGGCCTTGGGTTTAAAAGCTGAGTTGAACGATGGTAGCAAATAGTGGCATGACCAGCGGGAGGTCACTTCACCTTTTTACTGCAAAATAAAATCTAATGTGTAATGATGATAATAGCTGATGTCCCTGGAGAAGTTGCTGTCAGGCACTGTGTGTAGAACTTAGCTTAGATTATTTAATCAACTCTCCATAAAACCTCTGAGGTCTTTCTCCACATTTTTGCAACTCCATATGTAGGCACAGAAAGGCTATGTAACTTCCTGTAGACTACATTGCTCATAAGTAAAGGAACAGATTTCAGAGTAGATCCATTTGGCTCACAAGGCTGTGTTCTTAAACATACACTGTGAAGGATTGAGAAATGCATAAGTGCTAAAAGCAATGGGCTAGCATACTTTTCAACAACAGGCCAGATAGGAAATTTCTTAGCTTTTTTATGACTTGTGTGACAGCTACTGGACATGGTCCATGTAGTACAAAGGGCACAGCTGTGCTCCTAACAAACTGTGGTTTAGACAGCATATGCTCTTGGCATCTCCAGGAGAAGGCAAGCAGGCAGGGGTCTCTCTGCAGCAGGTAAAATTACAGGGATGTCTAGAAAGAGGAAGGGGCTCTCAGGCGCAGGAAGAGAATTCAGCTCAATGGGGCCGTGCATGGGGCTGAGTGACTAGAATGCGGTGCCATATGGGGGCCCCTTCCGGTGGCTCTGGCTGGGAAAAGATGACAAAGCTTTCATGCAAGGCAGTGCCCAGCAGTGCTGCTGCAGGGTGCCCTGGGTGCCCAAGAACTACCAACCTGGCAGGGCTTCTGAACAGAGTGAACTGCCCAACAGGGAGGGCGGCCTGAGCAGAAGGGGAGGACCACTCAGTGTCAACTGGCTCACCAGGAGGACTTCCACCTCTTGCTGTAGGAAATTGGGATATGCAGAAGAACTTATCTTTTTATGTTATAAAAGAACATATTTTAAGGTTAGAATGAGACTTTCTGATTAATATGAGAACGGGCTCAAAAACAACACCAAGGTTTTGGCTTCCAGTAAAAACTTCGGTTCCATGCAGTGGTCATTAATTCAGACTTCAGAGCTCATTCTTCAGGAGGCGTTCTAGTTTATACTGTCTTCTTCTAAGAGACTAGATTGTGAGACCAACTTTGGTTTGCCCAGATCAGATTTTCCAGCCTGTGCCTGTCTGTGCGCTTGCATGTGGAACTGTCCAGTACTACCCAGCCTCCTCCTGTGACAGGGCACGGAGCTCAGTCCAGTTGGGTGAGCTCCACAGTTAGCTGTGGCCCTAACAGGCCCTGGGCTTCTGGTTTTGGATGCTGCACTCAATTACGTTCCTGTATTATTGCAACTTTAGCATGTTGTTCCTACTCTGTCCTCTATCCCATATTGATGAGCCTTTCAATTAGAGATGAGGTTTTTTTTTTACTATTTTGGCATTATTTGCTCTCAGTGATCCCACTCCAGCCCTTAATAATGACATGTGATTTTCCAAGCATCCCAAAACCCTATGTTTAAGGATTCATTCTAGAATTTGGTTTAGAATTTAACAATTCCTGACTTTCCCATCATCTATAAATTCTACTTCAGCCCTACTGAAGACAGGCCAGATTTTTGCTCCTCTCCAGACTCTTAGAATTTTTCTTGACTGCTATCATTTCCTAAATAATAGTATTAATTGTTTAGCTGTGATATATGAAATTTCTTTTCAGTGTCCTGAAACTCATCTACAGAGCTTCATTTTCTTGCACTGGAAGTTTTTTTTCCCATCCTTTATACTGTGTTGTGGAGGGGCTGGGGATTTAGCTCAGCGGCAAAAGCGCCTGCTTGGCAAGCGCAAGGCCATGAGTTCGGTTCCCGGTACCGGAGAAAAACCAAAAAAAAAAAAAAAAAAAAAAAAAAATACTGTGTTGTGGAGATTTTTTCCTCCAATCCTGTTTCTTTTCTGTGTTTCCAGTGAACATGCTGTAGTCTGCTACTCCAGCTCACAAAACACAGCTGTGGGAGTCTTTACTCTGAGAGGTATCTACATTATACAGTAGCCAGGTCCTTCAGTGAAGGATGTTGGAGAAATGGTCAGGTGTTGGCAAAGGGAATCAGGAAGAAAGAACCAGGAGAAGTGACAGAACAGGGAGATCCACGTCCCCAGGATCAAGCGGGGCCCTGCTTATGCAGGTTGCTGCATAAGCAATGTCACAGGCATAGAAATTAGCAATGCTGCATAAGCATGTCACAGGCATAGAAATAGTCTGGTGGGGGGCATTTACACTGATGATCATCCTGAACTGCTGTCAAACAGCTCTGCATCTTTTAAAGGAAGGATGCTGAATGCAGCCAGCTGAGCCTACATGTGACCGAGTCATTGCAATCAGACTATGATTTCCTTCCAGGTTCCATTGCCTTCTCACATTGAGGTTACACAGCTCCAGCTAACACACTGCAGAGTCTGAACCTTTATTGCAAGCAGAGATAGGAGCAGAAGTTATGGGGTATAGCATGGAACCCTCAAAATGGACAGCCAGCTCTGGAGCAGTCTCCAAAATGATGAACTCCACAATGAGCTGGACCAAGAGTTTCCTCGTCACCCAATACCTCAAGGGCTCAGTTTTCCTTTTCCTCTGGTGGAATACGCTATGGCCCCTGCCCTAAAGACCAGCCCCACCATGATGAGAGCGGCAGTAGCAGTCTTCCTATCTGCAAGTAGGTCTTTGCACAGCAAACAAGTCGCTGTACAGGAATAAAGTTTCGTAGCTTCATATTACAGTGGTGCCTTGGTTCATGATTAATTCTCTCTACGATTCTGGTCACAAACTGAGTAGAATGAACATAGCCAGTGCAGCATGTAAGCTGGCTTTAGTTAAGTTTCAACTCTTTCCCTGGGCCACCTGCTGAAATCATCTCTCCCAGCTCCTTGGATCTGTTTCTTCACCCACCCTTTGTCATAGCTGTGCTTAGCCCTTGGTCAATGCTTCAAAGCCATCTGAGACTACCATAGGAAGTTCCGCTGGTGTCCCTCTTTGGGTCCTACTGTTAGAAAAAGACACTGATGATCATCCTGAACTGCTGTCGAACAGCTCTGCACCCCTCAAGTTGAAGTTTTCTCACGTTGTTTTTCCTTGATTTGTCTAAAAGTTTCCCAAGATCTCTGAATTATACACTTAGTATTCGTTCAGTCCTCTTTTCCTAAGAAACAATATGGCACCTAAAGCCTCCCTTTCCTGATTTTTTTTCCTCTGGAAGGTAAGATCCTACAATATGATGCCTGTACTTGGAGAGAGGGCATACGTGATGTCACAGAGATGAAATGACTTTCTTCAATTTCCATTTTGACCAAAGAAGAGTGGGAGGGTGAAGCCACTGCAGGGCCTTGTGTGTGGCATCTACATTAGGGTGGGAGTCAGACCAGCTAAGTGACAGGTTTGACTTCCTCTCCCCTTCCCAGAATCTGTGTATTTCTCTAGAGGAATGCTTTCCTGGGCCTTGCTCTAAGTCAGTAGACAAGAAGCATTAGCAATTCTTTCAGCCAAGCTCCCAAGACTTGTCCTAGAGGGCTAGGACACAGATTGCTTCTGCTGAACAGCAGTGTGTGTCAACAGAGGGTGTAATAAAGGAAGATAAGACAAGAATTCCAGTAAGGAGGGCCTCACTGAGGTGAAGGTCTAGACAAAATAGCCCTGGGAAAGTGGTGAGAAAAGAGCTCTGGACAAGTGTTGCTGATCCCAGCTTTGTCTCTGCAGCCAACCCATCTGCGATGGAAAAAGTGTGTGGAAGACACTGGACTCTTCTTCAAGCCCACCCTGGCAGCCTTGCATGTCAAGCAGGTCTTTGGTCCAAGCACCCAACATGCTGTATGTGACAGCTGCCTGGTGCCCACATCCCTGCACCCTTCCCTCCCTGCTCACCCTGCCCTGCTTGGTGGTTCACATGGATAGGAGTCAGGAAAGACAGGAAGAGACCATGTAGGGGGAGAATCCCAAGGCCTCCTTCTTCCTCAACAGGGCACAGTTCAGTTACGGAACACAAAGTATCCACAACAGGCACTAGTTTGGACACATGACCTAGTTTTCTTGCTCTTTCTACAACCATAAAATGAGAAAATTACCTTCCATGACCCCTAAGTCCCTTCCCTCTTTATCTAATACCTGATAGGACATGACCACAGCATGTCATAATCTTGAGGAGCCCAAATCAATAGTCCTGAATGCTTACTGCCTGATCCACACTGAAGAGTTTTGTAAGAACTTTGCAGAAACTCAGTCACTTCATTCCGATGAGTATCATTTTAATTCTGTAGGAGACAGAACTGAAGCGCAGAGAGGTTAAATGACTTGCTTACGGCCAAGTAACACAAAATAGCAGAGTCAGATTTGAACTCAGACAGTCTGAGACCAGGGTCCAGTCCTCTGACATTGTCATTCATTACCTTCCACCAAGAAATGATAGGCATGAGGTGGTAGATGGGAAGACAGGAACCACACACTCAGGCTGTGAAACTGGGGACACTCTAACTTGTTGGGAAGCCGTAGGAAGTAGGGTGTGAGGCCAAGAGCCCTGAGAGCAAGGAAGGCAATGATGGCCCTTTTCTTCCTCTGTTTTCTGTGTAATTTGTCTGTCCCCATGTATAAGGATTCATTAAGCTGAGTTCTCCCCATATTATGCATTGCCTTTCTGGTCAACCTCAGGGTAGACAGCTCCCCATGCCTTCCCTGTTCCTGGAGTTGTTGCCTTCCAACTCCAGAGATCTTTGGACCCTGAAGATTGTGGCACCCTGGGAAATAGACCTTTCCACTGTCTTTCTAAGATCTCCTCCTTCTTGGACATCTCCTCCAGTCAGGCAGCTCTCAGAGCCAAAGCCCCTTTATAAGATCAAATCCTTTCCAGCATATGTGCCCTACAGGGGACATTCTTGTGTCTACAGCACCATTAAGCTGCCCTCTCATTACAGAACAGAACCTCCTTCAGTGATTCCCACACATTCCTGGACAGTGCCCTGGACATGGGAGGGGAGAGGTTGGCCGTTGTATTGCAGATATGCCAAGCCTATGCGTGTTATCAGCAGGCAAGATACCCTGTCCACAAGTGTCCCTTGCACCACTGCTCATGCAAGCACAGTTGTATAGCTTTCTCCCTTCATATCCCCACTGAAGAGATGGCAGTTGTTTCCCCCTCCTACACCATAGATCCCTCACTTTCTAGGACAGCTCTAGGTCTTTTGGCAAGTGCTCTTTCCTGTGGCCCAGGCCAGTATGTCAGTGCAGAACTGGTGACAAAGGCCATGAAGTTGTTTGGGTGGCTGCGCAGAGGACATTTAGACTTCCAAGTGACCATGACCAAGAATGTGAAGCCTAAAGGGAGCCTCGCATTCTACGCAGGCATACAGCAGGAGGATAGTGGAGTACCGTGGGGAGACCACGCTGCCCAACCAGCACCTCAGCCCCCACCAGCTCTTCTTCCGAAGCTACGTCCAGGTAGGCCTTCCATAGCTTGCTTCTCAGAGAAGAACCCCATGACTAATGCTCAAAGAATTTTCTGCCCGGATACACACTCCCCAAAGACCCCCTCAATCACCCAACCACTGCCAGAGACATCCTTCCTGTGCTCTTTTCTCAGACATCATCCTGCAGGTTATTGCGAATTCTCCAACCAGATTCTAAACCTTCTACATACAAACAACAACAACAACAAAACTTAAAAAAGAACCACTTCTGGTTCTTTCCACAAGATGAGTCCATATTTTTTCCTCTCTCATGTCCTAGAAATTGAGATCCCTCAAAATAAGACGAAAATAGGCTCACCACACACTCCCTTCCTCCTCACAGACCTTGTATCCAGGGCCGGTTGCACCTTGACATAACCCACTTCTGTATCCACGGCTCCCTCCACAGGAGCAGTCTTGAGTTCCTCAACATAGAGACAGCTTTGAAGAGTCCTCCAATGGAGCCACTTCTCTCTCTCTCATAATGCTTTCATTCTACAGCCCAGGTTCTGTCCCACATTTAATACACTAAACGACCTGCAAATGGGAACTACTCTGTGTAACCCTGGAGCATTCTATTCCTTCCCCCCTCTTCATCTACTCTCGCAGTGGTCCCCTGCCCCACGCATGCCTTGTCCTAATGACCCCCAGGTACCTGCTTCGCTCCTTACCCTTCCTTGGACTCTTCTTCCTCAAGCCATGTGCAGGAAGCACAGTCCCCAAAACCCTCAGGACACTCATACCACACCCCCCAGCAGCCTTCTAATCCACTGACCCCCTCAGCAACACCACAGCCTTTGCCGGATATATCCACTATGTCTGGGGTGCCCTTATGAACCCCTCCAGATGTCACCATCTCCAGAGCTAGAAACTAAAACATTCCAATGCAGATACTCAACAACCCCCTCCCTCATCCGATTCTCTTCCAAAAATAATGCTTGACACTTAGCATCTCTCATCTCTTAATGATTTACATGCTATGCTTTATTCCTAGAAGTCAGAAAAGGTAAGAGAGAAAAATGCCAAGAAGTGTTCCCTGGACGTTAGAATAGGAAAGAACCAGCCATTGGTGGGTTATTGGGTCTGAAGGTTCAGTCACAGGGTTAAAGGCTGAGCAATTAAACAGAGCAGTTAGAGAAACAAGGGCTTGGTTAAGTCTCAGAAAGCTGCTCCCAATTGTTTTCAGGATTTTATTAGTATTTTATTGTCAGGGCTCCTTCCACCAATCTGCTACACTGGACAAAATCAGGGGAGGTACAGGAGGGAGAAGGGCGTGGGTCTGACATCTCTGGACCTGGAACACAAAGCTTCGGGCTCGGGGTGGCATCAGGTAGAAGCCATGGTGGTAAAGCCTCTGAACTGCACCCTACGGGCAGGTGCCTCTGCAAGAGCAGGGAGCAGTGTGCAAGGAGCGGTGTGGGCATCTTTCTGGGGAGCTGTGGCCTGGAGCCCAGTGGAGAGAGGAGGTCAGTATGCGATCAAGAAGCGAAGGTAAATGTCCAGGTCTTCCTCTTCCAGGAGCCAGGCCACTGCCTCAACCTCAACATCCCTCATAAAAAAACCATGAGGCTGGCCAGGTTCAAGCAGAGAGCGAGATCGAAAAGGTGATCTTGGATAGCTGCTGCTTCCGAGGTGAAGTTCTCCTCATGCCGGGCCTTGTCCATCAAATGCTGCTTCTCACCCACCGAAGAGGCCATGAAGTGCTTGTCGTACTGCCCCTGGCCCTGCTCTGGAGTAGGAGAAAAGGGCAGAGAAGGGCAGGCTTGACCTGAGCTGCTCCTACCCCGAACCAGAACAGGGAGAAGTCAGGACGTGGGAGGGCCAAGGCCCTCTTCCTGGACACACACGCGGGCTCACCCACACAGAAGCCACATGCACCTGCAGCTGGCCCGTGCTGTCCCCGGGTGATGAACTCCTGCTCCCGACCTTTTTACACAGCACCTATGGGTACAGGGACCTGGTGTTGTCCACCATATCCCAAACCCGCCTGAGAGTCGCCCTGCTCTATCAGCTGCCTAGTGCCTGACTCAAGCAGGTCGAGCCCCTTCCTCCAGACTTGTCTCCCACTTCCCCACCTACCCGCAGGGGGCGTCTTCCCTTGCAGGCTCCTCTGCCCTGGGCCTGGGTTGCTGAGCTGAGTCTTCTCCATCTTCACCCACAGCAGCACCAGCAACACCAGCAGGATGGCAACCAGGAGTGCTGCCCTGCAGGGCTGGGAACCCAGGGAAGTCATGGGGCTGCCCACCCACCACGGCCTCTCGCCCCTGCTCCCACTGCCCAGCAGGCTCCTGCCTCCTCCATGTCCCAGCTCTTATCTTTACCCAGTGCTGCTTCTGTCCATTCGTCTCCATCAGACCTCTGACTTCCTGTGTTCTGTGACATCACAACCACAGGTCTGATCCTCACTCCAGCTCGCTAGAGCATTCCATGTCCAGGCAGAGGGGTCGAGAGGCCAGCAGGGGATGACAGAGGGTCCTAGGATGCCCAGAGCCGGTCATCCGATGGCACTGTCGCATGTACTCCAGGGCCACCAGTCCTCCAAAGTAATAGCACTCCATACCCATTATCCAGATGAGGAAACTGAGGTTCACAGAAGAGTGACTCTCACTGAAAGTGACACCACTGCCCATAGGTAGAGCAGGACCTGCAATTTGGACTTTTGTATAAAGAGATGGCAGCTTCCTAGTATTCCGTGCAGCCTTTCTCTAAAGAGAGGGGCTTGCAGGGAGCAATCTCAGACCCGAGGCAGAAATAACGATCCTCATGCGCTGGGTTTGCCTGGTGCTTGGCATGAACCTTGATTTTGTCGGAAACAGAGGATGAGGTGGAACAGAGGGAGGTGAGAGAGCTGTGCGTGTGCGTGAGAGAGACAGAGACACAGCACGGAGGTAGAGAGACAGAGACAAGGAGCGAAAGGGGCAGAGATAGAGAACAAAGAGAAGGAAACACACAGAGACAAAGCCAGGAGACGCATGCGCAGTGAGTGCAGAGACAGAGGGAGGTGGGTGTCCGCCCCCCGGCAGAGGCCATCCTTTCTCCTCACCACCCCTGTTTTTCTCCTTCCCTACCCTCTGCCCTCTGGCACCTCCAGGCTGAAGCAGCGCCTTCCCTCAGTTGACACGTTCTGCACTCAGCCATGAGCGCTGCAGGCTCCTCTCCAAGCTCCCTGGTGGCGGAGCGGAGAGTTAGAGTCTGCGGGAGAGGCAAGGAGACGAGGCTCCCAAGCCCTGGGTCTGGGAAAGCCTGCCTCAGCGCCCAGTGTCTGCCTCGGAGAGCAGGGACCTTTTGGCTTCCAGGCGGCACAGTGTGGAGGACTGTGGGAGGGTGCACAGGGTGACTAACCTTCCCTGGGAAACCAGAACAAGAGTCCCAGTCTGCTCAAGGTGGGACAACCAGAAAAGAACTGTCACACGCTGCTCGCACCTCTCCTGCTGTCTGTGAAACACACGCATGCATGGCCGAGGGTGTGCAGAAACACAGGCTTCTATGGGAAGAGGGAGCTGCGGAAAGGGCAGTAAGCGGGGCGGGGGGAGCGGACTCCTTGGAGGGATGTTACCCACACTCACAAACACGCCTGCAATACAGCAGGCACCACCCTGTCCGTACTTCCTGGTGATCCAATCAGGTGACAGGGGACTGGGGCACTTCATAGAGAGGAAATTTTCGAGTATGCAGTGACGCTATTCACCCCTGTCTTGTACCCACTGACCTGTAAAAATAAAATCTCTAATCTCATCCCAGCTATTCTTAGAGAGGGGCCTCTCTGTTTCCCAACACAAAAAGAAGCCACCACCTGCCTGACACCGGTACTAAAAGGTAAATTCCTACAGGAAATATCCATACACACACACACACACACACACACACACGTATAATAAGAATATTTCAAAAGTACAGAGAAAAGAATTTTTAAGTGGCGAATTCTACTGTGCAATGAAAATCACCATAGAAGTTTAAAAATATAGTATCAGAATGCTTTTCCTAGATACTCATAGGCAGCTGGGGTGACAAACCAAAATCCAAGTATGTTTCCTGGTACATATTAGTCAGGGTCTCTGCTCCTGAGTGATATCTCCAACCCTTTATTTCACTTTGAGAGGAGGTCTTGCAAATTTCCCAGACTGGACTAGAATGTATGACCCTCCTGCCTCAGCCTCTAGAGTAGCTGAGACCACAGCACGGTTTTCCATTTACTGCAGTTACCATGTGAGTGTCAGTTACTGAGTGCAAGAAGAGTGAATGAGGTTGTGATGCTCCTGGGCCTTTAGTTCAGGTCTTGTTGCTCTACCTGCTGTTGGTCCTGCCGTGGCTCAGGCCTGAGGTCCAGGCCCAGGGAAAGCAGCGTGGGTAGGGGCAGCCTCTGTGGTGGAATGCTGGGGACCTGCCCCCAGCCAGAGCTGCTGGAATGGGAGGAACAGACAGCGACACCTGACTTGAGCACCTGTGCCTCAGAGTGCTGTGTGCGAGGTTGTGTCCTGCTCTTCCTATCTCGCAGTGCATAATAACCCTGAGCAGGGTCCTGCGTTTGTGTTTTGCAATGAGCCCTCCTCCTGACAGGTGCCGTGCTTGCTCAGCTGCCTCCACCCTGACCTGCAATGGGACTTTGACCTCCCCATCCTGCATTAGAGCAGGACCAGGGTGGTCTACACCAGAACTGGTTTCTGGACCTCCCCTCTGCAGAGGTTCAGCGAGGCCAAGGAGGGAGACAAGGGTTTTATCCAGTAGCCTCAGGACAGGGGCCAACTCTGGAATCTAGCATGGCCTGCCCTGGGCTGGTCAGGGACGCAGGCTTCAGTGGATCTGAGGGTCTGGATGAGCTGGGGTAAGGTGCACCCCTCACTCAGAAACTCTCTCCTGGGGCCATTATCAGAGCTACAAATGAGCTTCCTCAACTAGAAAATGTCTCACTGGCCACTGGAGCCATCAGAGGGGACGGATTTGGGGCTGGAGGACATCAGCAGTACCGCTCCTCAGTCTGTCTATCCGTTCTGCAGTTCCTCGTGACCCTCAAGCTGCAAGACACTGAGGTAGCTTTGGGGCCGCCCCTGCCTCATCTACCAGGCCAGGCTCTAGCTTTATCTCCAACTCTGTCAGGATCTCAGCAGAAGCCAAAGCAGCCTTCAGGGGACCTGTGGGAAGTGTGCCACTGGTTCTCCTCAGTTATGAACACTATTTAGAGCCTCATACCCACGGGTCAAGCACAAGACAGACCCAGGACCCATAGCCCAGCCCACATGCTCCAGACCCACCAGGAATCTGTACCTACACAGCGGCAAGAGGCAGAGGGAAATTGAGTAGCTCACCAGTTCCACGGGTTTCCTAAGTTCTATCAGCAGGCCAAGGATTACATCACTGTAATCCCTAAACAGGATTTCATCACTGTAATCCCTAAACTCCCTTTCCGATGAACAGAGCACCTTTTGTAGTCTGGGCACCTGGAAACCCAGGGAAATGTTCCCTCTTCCCCATCCCAGGTTCCTAAGACACTCATCTCAGATGAAGGGGCCCAAGTTCCGGACATCTTGGCAGGGACCTCCTCACTACCATCCACACCTGGGCCTTCTTCCCTCTCTGGAGCAAATGGAGCCTCCTATTAAGCTCCTCTTCTATCAGAGTCACAGGGCAGCAGGCTGCAAGGGAGGAATTGGCGTGGTGGGAGTCACAGTGAAGTCCAGGGAACCCTTGAGGCCAGCCCACAGCCAACTCTCACATCAGTCCCTAGAGCGCTACAAGGAACTCAAGAGTGACAAAGCCAGTTTCCTTCTACACACTTTGCGGGAGTCTTGTCACTCTTAGCCTAATGCCTCAGGTCCCCTCTGCTCACAGCCGCTCTGTGACAGTCTCTACCTGACTCCTGTTCACCCTTCCCCAGGATACTGGAGTCTCCACTGCTTCGGGCAGCCAAGGAAAATGACCTCTGCACCCTTAAGAGACTTCTGCTGGACCAAACCTGTGACTTTTGACAAAGAGGTGAAAGCAGAGTGTAATGGGTACAGGTGGGGGAGGAGGACCTGTTCTCCCCACCAAGGACCAGGGGGTTTCTGAAAGGGGACTTGGAGATGTCTTTGCCACCAGGCACCCCTTCCCTGATGGACTATGGAAAGTGCCTGGCATCCTTGTCCTACCCCACTCCAGGAGCCCTAGGGGCCCTAGGGGAGACGGCGTTGCATGTAGCAGCCCTCTACGACAACCTGGAGGCTGCCACGCTGCTGATGGAGGCCGCCCCTGACCTGGTCACGGAGCCCACTCTGTGTGAGCCATTTGTAGGTGAGGTCGCTGCACGGGAGCTCTCAGTGGAAGCGGGGGATGGCTGTCATTTCTGCACCAGGGCCTGGGAGTTGAGAGTCCTGCTCTACACATTGAGCATCCGTGATTTCCAGGCTGTACTTTCTTCCAATCTTCACGTGGTCCCTGAGGACCTACCTCCATGCCTTTCCCTCATAGGGACAGGGAGTGACTGGTAGCAAGACCCCTGGTACCCAACAGCAGAGGTGTAGGGACAAAGAGCTGGGCAGGGAGCAGTGGTCCTCAATCCCTGGCCACTCTGCAGAGCCTTCGGCAGAAATCTGCCTGAGCACCTGTCAGGGCGCCTGCCAGGGGGTCAGGGTGTGAGATTGCTCTGCCCTTGCAGAAACTGGGCAGGTGTCAGACCCGGGACTGACAGCTCTCTCTGCCCAGGTCAGACTGCCCTGCACGTCGCTGTCATGAACCAGAACGTGAACCTGGTGCGTGCCCTGCTCTCTTGCAGGGCTAGCGTCTCTGCCTGGGCTGCAGACCTCGCTTTCCAGCACAGCCCCCACAACCTGGTCTACTATGGTGAGCATGAGGGCCAGGCTGGGAAGGAGGAGGAAGAGGAGGAGAGCAGAATGGTGACCTGGGGGTGGGCTCAGGTGGGCTGTCTTGAGGTGGAGCAGCCCTTGAAAGACTGAAGGTCAGAGGCCATGTCTACCCACAATCTCTGCACTGTCCTGGTTCTGCTGGACAAATGTCCCCAACCCCCAGCCTGAGTATAGGGAGGAGGAGGCAATCACCTGGCAGATACTGCCCCCTCATCCTGTGACCCTGCTGTCTCCTGCCACTGATCCCTTTGTGTCCCAGGGGAGCACCCTCTGTCCTTTGCAGCCTGCGTGGGCAGCGAGGAGATCGTGTGACTGCTCACAGAGCACAGAGCCAACAGGCATCCGGGCCCAGGACTCACTGGGTAGGAACTGGATGGGCGTGGATACCGGGATGGCGCAGGGGATGTGGGGGGAGGGGGACAGGCCATCCCAGAGTGGGAATGGGACCATCAGGGACATTGGCCCTGTGACTACATGAGACCCTGCCCTCCCCAGGGAACACCGTGCTGCACATCCTCGTCCTGCAGCCCAATAAAACCTTTGCCTGCCAGATGTACAACTTGGTGCTGTCCTATGATGGAGGGGACCACCTGCAGTCCCTGGAGC